GTCTTCTGACTTTGATGATCATTTCTATATCATGGAGTTTTTTTGTCAGATTATTGATGTGGTCTAAAGGATTAGGAGGCAAAAGTAGTGGGAGGGCGGAAACGATCATCAAAGTCAAGAAGACATTGGTGAAATAGTGCCACTTTGGGAAGACATTTTTAAGACAGAAAAAGTGTAAAAAAAAAGAGTAGATGGGTTGTTGAGAAAGCCTACTGGTTAGAACATTAAGCTCAGAATGGAAAGACTTATTGCTATTTATAAGAAGTGAGTAGGTGCATAAAGGAAAATTTTTTTTTTTTCCTTTATGGGGGGGACTAAATGTTGGTGTGAGAAAGCTTTTTTGTTTTTTGTTTTTTGTTTATTGTTTTTGTTTTTAGCGCATGAACCATATGAGAAATAAGAGAAATATATATATATATATGAAAAAGGGAGGTTCAATGTCAATCACTATGAAAAGATTTTATTAATTAAATTAACATGAGGGCTGCAATCACGGTATTTGGAAGAGAATAATGCTCATCCATAATGTCAAAAAAAAGGATTTTTTTTTGCGCACACTTACGGTATTTGGACAAACATTTGAAGATCACTCACGGTATCCAACAAAGAAAGCTCCAGGTCTAGACTAATATGGTGGTAAACGGACAACTCACGGTATGAAAGAGGATCGTGGGAAACCAACTAAAGGGAGTGGATTGGAGGATTTCCTAATTTGCCCACTCTAATGGGAACCCATAGAAAGAAAGGTTTTTTTGTTACCTCTCCAGCCCCACTATAAATACCCCCCATGCTCTTTGCTTTATCGATGAACGACAACAAGAGAACAAACAAGAAAGAGGGAACACAAAGAAGTTGAAATTCAATCACCTAAAGCATTAGAGAGAAGCATAGAACAATAAGATTTGTAACAAATCAATCGTTCTTTCCTTGGGGATTGGGTTTTCCACTTCAATTCACTCGCCCACAATCCATTATAAATTCTTGTACTTTACTCACATAAATTAATAAAAGATCTTAGCTTTCTTTACCTGGTATTTAGTACTTTTGCTTTATGATTTTAGAAGACGTGAAGGGAGAGAACATGTAAGTGAAACAAAATTGTGGATGTGCAGAAAAGAAAGCAAAATGGTTCAATTATTCATCTCTCTCCCTTTCTTTTCCATTATTTTTAAGGTTAAAAATCATGTCAAAGATTGTCTAGCGTCAACACTTGAAACGGTTTTGTGAACAGGTGACGGGAATACCTGTTGTATTTATAGCAGCAGTGGAGGGAAAGGGCAGGATAGCTGTAATGCGGCAGGTCGTCGATACATATGAGAAATGGTGTTTAAGATTGCCCACAGCTCGTCTTAACCGTTGGTTGCGTAAGGTCGGTTTTTATCAGTTGATGATACTCTTTTCATTTCTTTTATCCAAAGTTAAGATGGTTTATTGTGCAGTAAAGTCTCTACTTTCTCTCTCTGTCGCTTTCTCATATCTACCCTGTTTGGCCAGGTTATGAGTAGGCATTCTTGGAAAGATCAGGCTGCACAACCTAAGGTCAAGTACTTTACGCAGGTGAAATCCCGACCGCCTACTTTCATCGCCTTTGTGAGCGGCAAAACACGTCTTTCGGATACAGACATTAGGTTCTTGACAAAGTCTTTGAAAGAAGACTTCGATTTGGGTGGAATTCCCATCAGGATCATGCAGAGGATTGTTGAAAGAAAAGTCGGGGCTAGCGGTAGCAAGCCGCCTAGCCAGTCCGGTGGGAGAACGGCGGAAAGGACCTTTTCTGACAAGAGATGTGCATCTACTTGAATAACAATCTTAACTTGAACAGAGGGTCACAATTTTGGTTCCTAATTCTGTGATCATGTTTCATAGGGTCACTATTATGACCTTTTGTTGCATCTTTTTTTTTTTTTTTTTTAAATTTGAGAAAATGTGTTTTCAAAATATATAAAATGATTGTAAATCCCAAGTAATATTTATTTCAAAAGGGCCAATAATGCTGGTTTAATTCAATTTGGCCAGTAATTTGACATTGTTTACTTGTTTATTTGTTGTTTATAGATTACTGTAAATTTTTACTAATCATGATGCCTAGAAAATTGCCGTTGTGTTTTCTTAAAAAAAAAAAAAATCGATTAGGGGTCTTTTACACAAAAAAGAGAAAAGTTAGGGATCTTCAACAAGCGTAGGCCTAGGAAAAGGTAGGCCAACTGTCATTATCACCACGACTCGTAGGTTTGAACTTGACTCCATCCGCTGCGAGGCACGAGCCAGGGAGTGAGTACTAATATTCAAAAGCACTTTTGAGTTTTTGAGAAAATACAAGTCAAAATACTTTTTAGCTAATTGTTTAAAGGTCTGTTTAATTCGTTGATTCGAGTTGAGATGTAATTTTATGTGAAAATTTTTTATTATAGTAAAAAAATTAAATGTAACTGCTTCTGAGGCTTTTTACTGTAACAAAACTTAGAGGTTGTTCTTTTAGAGTGTAACTTGAGTGTAGTTTTTGAGTTGAATTTGAGTTATAACTTGAGTTGAAGTTGTAACTTGAATAAAGTTGAATAAAGTTAAAACTTAAAAGAACGTGAACTTGAATAAAGTTGTAACTCAAATTGTCTTTTTTTGACAAAAGAACATGCCCTTAAATTTTAAACTCGAATTGGTGAAATGAATGGTGGGCCCGTTCGGTTCGCTAATTCAAGTTTTTAATTCGAGTTGAGATGTGATGTTGTGTGAGAGCTTTTTACTGTAATAAAAAAGTTAGATGTGACTGTTTCTGAGAGTTTTTTACTGTAGCAAAACTCGAATTCTAAACTCAAATCAGCGAAAAGAACGGGGCCTAATAATAATGATTTTTTTCCCCCGGATGGTGCTTTCAAATTGAAATGTAATTAAGGTAATGCTTTCAAATTGAAATATAATTAGATGACTGTACACTTTATTGGCAAGTAACTATGAGAGGTCTCGTGGGTTCAATAGCTTCCACGAGTAAGCAAAGATAGGCATCTATTTAATCTATAATCTATAACTATGAGAAAATTAAACAACTATCCGTCAGTTTTATCTAAATACAACTTTTACTTCTGAGTTTTTTAAAATCCAAAAAGTATCCTCTATGTTTTTCAACCCATACAAAAAGTATTAATTCTTTTAACTTTTTAGGTTTAATTTTTTTAAATGACCAAATTATCCTTAGATATCTCATACAATGTTTAAAATTTGTGTTAGGCTATACTAACTTCCAAATACCTCTCTTAGATTTTTTTTTTTTTGAAGTAAACCTCTTAGGAAATTTACAGCACTAATTTGAAAAAGTTTTTTTTTTTCCTTTTTTTTTCATTTTAATAAGAAAGTGAAATCTTTTTTGAAAAAAATATGTAATTCTTTTTTTTTTTTAAATTCTATTTGGCAAAACATAATGAATTTATTTATTAATTTGAGGTGAAAATGTATTTTGTAGTGCATAATAAACCAACTTGTTAGAATTATCTAGTACTACTACGTGATAAAAAGTTTACATCTTTATTTTTTTAAGATTTCACTTTCTTATTAAAATGAAAAAAAAAACTTGTTTAAATTGGTGCTGTAAATTTCATAAGAGAGCCACTTCAAAAAAAAAAAAAAAAAAAAAGGAAAAAAAAAACTTAAGAGGGGCGTTTGGAAGCTGATATAGCCCAATAAAAATTTGAATAGTATAAAAGATATCCAAAGACAATCTAGTCATTTTAAAAAAAGAAACCAGAATTATTTTTTTTTAAACAAAGGATACTTTTTGTCTTTTTTCAAAAACACAGGAATAAAAATTGTATTTAAACAAAACTAAGGGAATGCCTTTACCTTATACCAAATAAGTGAATAGATAGAACTAATGGAAAAATAATTTTGTTATACCTATTGGTTCCTTGCAACGTTTTTTTCTCTATTTTCTTTCTTTTTAGAAATTGAAAATATTAAGGAATGGTTAAATGAATTGCATTGATTAAACGTTTCATTCGTACTAATTTCCATGTCTTCGGTATAAGGTCTGGTGAAAATAAAACGAGCTTTAACAAAAGAAATTATTATACATACACATATATGTGTGTGCATTTATTGTTAATACAAGGAAAACAAAGATGTATAATACATACTTAACACTAATTATTCTCTATAAACTGACTTCAGAATCAGAGTTTCTGCAAAAATTAAATATATACCGTCCTGAAAGTATAAGCCTAGATTTAACAAGGTATCTTCTATATGTTCACGGTTGAAGTTGTTGATTTTCACATTAAAAAAAGTAAGAAGTTACGTTATCATTAGCAGATTCGTTTGGTTCCTTTAATTCAGAGAGTTGAAGAAAATTTTAAATAAAAGAAAACACTATTACAAAAGAGGTTTGAACCAAAACCTATGAAAAGCATAAAAGCTAAGTCGTATATTGATCACAAAAGCCTGATAATATGTACTGATATTATATATATATATATATATATATATAGCGGGACAAATTTGCATAAAATTTTAATCTTGCATATTATAAAGTTACAAATGTGAAATGCGAAAGACTTTATTTATTATTATAAAGTTACCATGTTAGGCAGCCCCCGATAATACACACACACACACACATATATATATATATATATATATTAATCTTTACATAAAATAACGGATCAAGAAATATTGCATGGGCGCGAGAGAATTAAGTATGAGATCAATATTGGTGATCTTGTCCTTTCTTAATTTACCAACTCGGAGAAGCTTTTCAATATTGAACTCTATTTTTTTTTTCTATGAAGAATATTTTAATTTGAATACTTTTACTTTTTTAAAAGGCATGAATAAGTCACCGGTAGAAAAAAGACATCATCGATTATGATTTTCTATTTTCTTTTCATAAATATAATATACTGGCGCACACATGTTAATAAAACGAGTGCAAATATATATATATATATATATATAATTGGATAATCCCATTAAAAAATTGTTCATATATATATATCACATCAAAGAGGTTCATAGATTGTAACTTTATAATAATGAATTAAGATTAAAAATTTGAAAAGTTTAGTAATGTTTGTGTGGAATTAATTTATAAATAGGGTCATTATCTGTAACTTTATGATAATAATCAGCGTCTATATCAAAACAAACAGAAAGAGAAAAACAGTCACAACAAATTATTAATTGAAAAATGATAGAGTTATATAATATTATGAACAAATAGGCATCTTTAATGAAGGATTTTTTTTTCCTTTTTTGGTAAATTAATAAATGGAGTTTTGAAAATAGACCCTCCAAAAGTATGCAGCAAAATAACAAATACGTACGATTCCAATGCAATGCAATTGAATTAAAGAAATTTAATTTGTTTTGAAACATTTAATTTATACAATTTTTTCAAATAGTCACTGAAAGTGAAAACAACTTAGTTTTGCTTATAAAAATTAGAGAAATTAGGGTTTTGGATTTGTGGGTGTGGGATGAAAAAAAATATACATTATATCATTGAAATTTTCTCTTTCTTGTCATTTTATGTGAGCCTTTTTCTGATAATTATTGTTAATTTAAATGGATGTTTTAAAAGTTGTGTGTGTTTATATAGAACCATCCTTTAGACAGATAGAGAGGATTATTTTTTTTCCAATACAGTATGTACAAAATAAGGTTTTTGCGAAACTCCTAGTATAATTAGCAATTAAATTTCCCTGATTCCCACCTTCCAGTCCGATCTATTCTTGTTAAAACAAATTTTTTTTAGTTTTTTTCGATTTTTCCTGACAAAAATATAACAATTACTTGATTGGGAGATTTTACTAAAAAAAAAATTAAAAAAATAACTTTTGACGGCAATATGAAAATCGAAGATCTAGATGGAAGCAACAAAAGGAGATGGACGAAAGATCAAGAAACAAGTGCGGGACGGTGAGAGAATAATTAAGAAGAGATTAGTAGAATTTTGGTAATTAAATCACAAAAATAAGTAGCCTAATAATCTCTAACATGTCATGAATAGCAGTCCGATGGCATTGTCAAGTGAAGTTAATTATAATTTATAAGGAAAAATACATTGATATAAGAGCATTTTCCGGATGTTTTTAATTTGCTAGGTTATGATTTCTCTATCTTTCGTGAAAATTATGTAAGCAAAAAGGATGAAGAAAACTAATCAATCAATTTATGGGGGGACAAAGATTATGAGCTTTCTAGGGTATAATATATATATATATATATCTATGTTCATATATATAGAACATGTGAAGAACTTGGAAACTTATATATACCTCCTATATACATATATGTTTTTTCTATGATCATTCCGAGAGGGTCATACTTCTAAATAATATATAAAAGTGAAAAATGAATCTATTATTTATTCAACGTAATATTGATGATAAAAAAAAAAATGTAACAACTGAAAAATTTAGTTATCTCATACTAACTAGTATTATATCTCTACAATATCACTACGTTTCTTACTTTCATATGTTATTATATGGAAATACGGTCATTCAGAAAGACAATTTACAAGTCCTATATCGACAAACTAGTTGATTAAAAATTCAAAAAGCCAATGAATATAAAAAGAAAAGGAAAAAAAAAAAAAAAGAGAGAGAGCAGATTATGGATTTAATTTTTGTGGTGCATGGCCAAGTCTTGACGAGTCAACCAATATAAGTTTCTTCTCGAGTGTCTAATCATGAATTCTTCAATATCAAAACAAGAAAAGAAAACGTCCAAATTCACAAAATACAAAAGTTTTCAACCATATATTTATTTATTTAAAAAGGTGGTCTGATCAATATGTATATGGAATTTGTACTTTGTAGGTTTAGTAGAGTAGCCCACCCTCTGGGAATGTCAAAGATAAGAAAATAGCTTGATTGGCTGAGGAATATTATCACCATTCACAAAAAGAGCACTATTAAGTCATAGGTTCACAGTAAGTGCTTAACAGTGCATGCATGGTAATAAAATGGACCAATCTATCCTCTACGGAAATTGAAAAGTGAAATCAATTCAAACCCCATGGAGCTACACATATAACATACATACAGACATACACACATATATATATATATATATATATAGGGGTTTTTACAATTTTAAGACTTGAGAAAATAAACTACCCGTGAGTTTCTATTTTTTAATTATTAAATTTGTACTAACATGCTTATTTTGCATATTTTTTTATTAATTTTAATATGATTTTAATCAATTCACTTAAACAAACAACTCATATATATATATATATATACACACATATATAATGACGCACGCAAGCCAAGAATTATAAGATGTGTGATGCACACTCGTGGTGGTACTACTGACTTTTACAGTGCCAGTGACTATAATAATTGACCCAACCTACCAAACAACTATCAATTTACAGCCATATATATATATATATATATGTGGTGTGCCTCCCAACATTTCCGCTGCTATATATATAGCGTACTAGATCAAAGTCCAGATCCCAATGAGAATTCTACTAAATCCCCAGCGGCCATATATGTGATACGGGTACCTATTTTCTGTGTTTTATGAGAGAGAGAAAAAAAAAAAAAAAAAGAACTAGAAAAAAAGGCATTGTACTTTTCTCATGATTTCACAGACGTTTTACTAGGTTTAATAAGAAAATGAATAAAATAAGAACTAGAAAAAATGGTATTGTACTTTTCTCATGATTTCACTGACGTTTAACTAGGTTTAATAAGAAAATGGATTTACCGCATATTCGTTTACGTAGAGTACCTGTAATTTTCATTCATTGAATCATGGTTATATATTGTGATAACTAAATCCACATCCTACTAATTAATCCATAGCTACTAAAACATGTAATAGCTCTTAATGCTGTGTTAGGAGAGAGAGAGAGAGAGAGATCACTAGAAAGAGAATATTGCTCTTCTCATTTCACAATTTCACTAGGCGCTCATGATAAGAAAATAGAACAATGGTATAATCCAGTATTTTGGAATGTATATTGTAGTCTGTTTTTCTCGAACATTAACAGTTAAATCGATTTAAACAGTTGAAAGTTGAGTTACTTTTTGAAAGATGAGATAGATAAAAATTTTCAAAAGTCAGTTTAGATTGATTTGACTGCCATTCAAAGTTTATATATATATATATATTGGTACATATGCTATTTCAAGACTAGAATAAGTAGCTAGTACTCCTAGTCATATCATGATTATTCTCATTAAAAATGGGAAAAGAAATAAAATTGAAATGGAGTGGTTCTGAGTGGTCTGTGGCAGAGACTATATATATGTTTTTGTCATTTTACATCTTAAACCTTATCTTACTAAAACCAAGAAGAACAATTTTATTTTTAGAATAATTAGGTCTCGTTCACTTCATGGATTCGAGTTTTTAATTCGAGTTGAGATGTGACAAAAATCCATGTACATATTGATCGCTTGATTCTAACTTAAAAATAATACGGGTGAATAACTAGATTTCATAAGTAGTACTGGGCCTGATTTTCAAAAAAAAAAAAAAAAAAAAATCTCTTCTGAGAGCTTTTAACTGTAGAAATCTAGAACTAAAAACTCAAATCGGTGAAATAAATGAGGCCTCAGTTAGTCCTCTTTCTTTCAGTAAATCAGAAAAGCAAAATTGGGAGACAATTTATAGTACATATGCTTGCTAGTTTTGCACATGGACTGGGTCCGACTCTTTCTATTGCAATATTATTCTCTCTAAAAATATTTGTCTCTGCAGCTTGTATAGAATATGGGTGACAAAAATCCATGTACATATTGATCGCTTGATTCTAACTTAAAAATAATACGGGTGAATAACTAGATTTCATAAGTAGTACTGGGCCTGATTTTCAAAAAAAAAAAAAAAAAAAAATCTCGAGAATGAAATTTAGATCCTTAACCCCATTTAAGGCTAAAACCCTAAAACCTTATCAATTCCAATTAGATCTCTTCACAAATGCATACACATATGTACATGTGACTCTGTGTGTGTGTGTGTGTGTGTGTGTGTATATATATATATATATATTGATGAAAGAGTATCTGTATATATCTAAAATAGTACTCCTCCACGAAACTAGGAAGTGATATAATTAAGCAAATGAAGGGAGAAAGCAAAGAATTACAACCACACCAACTTACTGAGGAATACCTACACATAAAAACAAACAAATAAAGGAGACAACACAAGGCCACTAAAATCTATCCAATCGCCAAATTTTAATCCTAGCCTACTTTCGTTACGTACATTACAGTTCTGTTGGAAGTTCTGTTGGAAGTTTTATACTGCGTAGCAAAAGATCATTCATGAACCCGGCCCGTTTGTTTTATATATATATTCTTAAAAAAATTACCAAATTCATGTTATACATCTATATATATATATATATCACATATATTAGTAGACAAAACGAATTAAGCAGTACAGTATATTAATATAAACCCCAAACCCCAAGTAAAGCAAACTCAAACTTAATCAAGATATATTGAGTCATAATATTGATATATCCAAAATCCTAATTCCAAAGCTAGAAAAGAACAGTACTAGATAAAAAAAAAGATTAGCATAAAATATAGTGACATAATTAATTAAGTGTTTTTTAAGTATATATAAATTAAGGTATATGTTCATGATAAGTTGGTCATATTACTTGAAGGGATTATTGGAGTACTGGCCGTCTCGGTTAGCCTGATCCGGGAAAGGGTTCCACTCCCATAGCCGGTCGGAGAACGCCGTCGGGAGGAAGTTCGACAGCGGATTGAGCGCCACTTGCTGCTGCTGCGGCGGCACCGGCACCGGCAACGGCAGCGGCATAGGATGGAACTGGTTGAAGTAATGCTGTTGAGAATGGTGATGATGACTTACTATGATATTTGCATTACTACTACTAGTGGTAGAACTGCTCGGTGCTTGCTGGTAATTATGAATTAGTCTATGGAGATCGTCTATAGAATTCGGCGGCGTGGAAGAAGAGCCGGAGCTGAAGAGAGTAGGGCAGAATTGTTTTGGTTGTTGCGCCGAAAGCATGGCCACTTCTTCTTCCATGGAAGTATTGGCTGCAGCAGGTTGAGCAATCGGAGACGCTATCGAGCCGCGATAAGCTTTGCGCTTGGAGAGGCCCTTGGTGCCTGCGGCAGCGACGTCGGAGCTGCTGCTTCCGTCGGTTTCGTTGGTGTTTTCCACCTCGAATTGGTGGGGCGGTGGCGGCGGTGGTGGCAGTACTTGGTGTACTCCGAAAGTTTGGAGCTTTTCCATGGCATTATTGGGATATTGCTTTTTGTTGTCTGCCGCCGCTCTCGATGAAGAGGCTCTCGACGGGAGAGAGCGGGGGAGGGACGGGTGGTCCTCGACGCCGGCGCGCTTGTACACCCGGCAAAGAGATATCTCTGCCTGAGAATTAGAAACGTAGGGAAGAATTAAGCAAGAAATGAAGGGAAGAAATTTTGGAAATGATGAGGAAATTGTAGAACAAGCAAAAAAAAAAAAAAATTCACATGAAGCATATGCTAGTTGTAGCTATATATAAAAGGAGTTAAGAAACATATTTCATCAAAATTAAAAGGGTTATATCTGAGTTTATAATAGTTCATGCATGAATTGCTATCATGTGTTTCTTCATAAATATTATATATATATATATATATATATATAATTCGATGACTAAAGTTAATCTTCAAATTGAAACAAGTACTGCATGCAGTAATCTTTTGTGAATTCTATTAGTTTTCTTATTTTCCTTCCCCTTGTACTTGTAGTACTATTCTTTTGAAGCTGATCCCAATATTTGTATGAGAACCTATAGAATGAAAGAAAAGTTTAGAAATTAATCCAACTACTTTGCTAACTAATCGTAGGAAAAAAGGTTGAAATTTGCAAAAATAGTTCCCAGATCTATATTAGATAATTTATGAACTATAGCTAGGGTTAGTGGAATTAAGATCAACTAAAAAGTATTTAGGTAGTACTTAAATTATTATATATAGAAAGTTAGTGAAATTTTTGGGAAGCAATCAAACATAAAATCTTTTTTCAATTAACTTCGTGGTATGATTCCTAAGTTTAATATCTGAAATATTTATTAATTACGATTCCAAAAGTAACATATGATGCACATATAGATATGATGTATATACATAAATATACCTTCTGATAACGTTCAGTTTCATGCTGCGGCAGGCGATATTCATTCATAATCCAACTAGTTCTAATCCCTTTAGGCGCTTTCCCAGAGTAGAAAACTAGGGTTTTTTTTAGCCCGATCGACCGGAAATTCTCCGAACGGATCATCCTATCAGCTCCGGTCGCCTTCCAATAACCCGAAGTCGTGACCCTATTCGGTCGGTCACCGTTCCTATACTTCCGGTCTCTTGGCACATAAAAGAACCATTCCTTCTCTCCAATTGCTGCCAAAGCTGAACAACAAAAAGAAATCAAAATACAACACGAAATTAAAAAAGGTAAAATATATACAATCACACACACATATATAAATAGATACAACGCATAATTATAATTTATTAGTGGTAGATAATATCCAGTAGATGCTACAATAAATAATTAGGTAAGAACTTAACCTAGTTACTATTAGGATTCCTAGAAAATTAAGAGATTAAAATTAGAGTGGTACAATTTAAATATATAACAATGTTACCAGGAAGTTCCCAAGGGTCATAGCGATAAAGATCGAGAAAAGTAATGAGCTCGACGTTGAATCTTTTGCCCTCCACCTTACGGCGAAGGTAAAATTCGACAAGCTCTTCCTCGGTCGGATGGAATCGGAATCCGGGCATGACCATGTCATGTTCATGGTCGTCTGTGGTCTTGTTGTTATTGTTGGACTCGTTTTCTTGGCTCATCGTAGTTGTAGTAATAGTACTATTTGATGAGGCTGCAATTGCCATAAACTGGCTAGAGAACAATTTTCAGAGAATTATGGAGAGAGACAGAGAGAGAGAGAGATAGAGAGAGAGAGAGAGAGAGAGAGAGAGAGATTTTCAAGTGATGATCTCAATTGGGTTTGGCATATATTTATAATTCTCTCTCTCTAGCTCCTTATGTTGAGAGAGATTGTACGGATCATTGGCAAGTGGGTGTAATAAAGGGCCAGATTTAGAGATGGGGTAGCAATAGTATTTTGTGTACTTTGAAATAATATATAAGACAATCCCAAATTAAGACTAGTATTGATCTCTGTATATTTTATCTACAATTCCTTTTTTTTTCCTTCAATTTTGGGAGAGAATAGAAGAGAGAAGAAAAATGGAGAGAGAGAGAGAGAGAGAAGAGAGAGAGAGGATTTAATGGAGAGATCTACATAGCTTTCAGGCCCTACCATGGAAGGAGGTATGCGCTAAGAGTGTTTTAAGATGAGACAATGACGTTTCAAAAAGAGGACAGGGTGGCCACAGTCTCTTAGCGGTGCTCTTGGACCTTTCTATAACTCTTTTTTTCCTTTTTTTTTTTTAATTTCCTTGTAAAAAAAATAATAATTTTGTTTTTATCCACCTTTCCACACGCTTGACTCAATAATACATGTAGAGTAAACCGTACAGTACTAATATAAAATACGAAATGTGATTGTCGACTTAAAATAATTCCATTGTCTTATGTCATTTAGGGTTAGATACAATACTCTTGTTAAGTTTGGCTATTGAATTGAACAATGCTATTGTAGGATAGTGATGCTCAACATCACTAATTAATAGAAGGTAGATCTTACAATAGAGGGTTTATAGGTGGAGTTTTTTTTTTTTTTTTTTTTTTTTTTTTTTTTTTTTTTTTTGTGGTTTTTAGTACCGATAATACGTATTCTAAGCATTTTTTATTTGATTTACACATAGTTGTTTTAGTTAGTGCACATGCGTGTATGTATATATATATATGTATATATATATATACACATAAGTGTTCCATCAAAAAATATATAACCTAAAGAATATCACACAACTGCATGCATATGTTTCCGAAAAATTTGGTAAACAAATTGATATTATAAATATAAATTTATGTCTTTTATATGCAAATTTAATATAATCTACATCCACCAAAAACAGTAATTAATTATCTACATAGAATATATGTTTATGTTTCCGTATTGTTCTCTTGGCAGATAATTTATAACTATGATGATAGTGAGTATTGGATCATGAATATTTAACCTATTGCATCACTTGATCAAATGCTTATTACACGAGCAATGCGGATTTTTTTTTTCGAATTATAAAAAGGTTCAGCTTCGAGCTGGCTAATTTAATTCTATTGGATTATATTAGTAGAAGAAATTGAACTTAGGATGAAGCGTGAATAATCCCAGATCTTGCCTAATTATTATCCTTCATGAGATTATAAATTTATAATTAGACCAATCCTACATATACTACTCTGAATTTTGTTGAATTCATATCTCAATGCTAGCTTAATGTGTCACATAAATGATCCCTTTGTAATTGAGGTAATTATTATTTTTGAAAAAGTAACTGAGGTAATTTTAGTCATAGGTGATAATTGAACTAATATAATGGACTTTATATTATAATCTGTAATTAATTACGTTCTCAAATATCTCATACTGACAAAAGTATAGACAAATTGCATTTTTTATAAGGAAAGATACTGTTCCATTTTTTATTAATTAGGCAAAATAAGTAAGGAATATAAAGGGATAATTTGTATTTTAATTATCACCGGAATATGTAACGCTACATTTGTAAAAGATTTCAAGTCAACCTTTGAAAGCTCATTGAATGTGAGTAATGTGAGTAATTAGCACGGAATATGTAACGCTACATTTGTAAAAGATTTCAAGTCAACCTTAGAAAGCTCATTCAATGTGAGTAATGTTTACTATAGCTAGGATATTGTGGCTACACATGTAGTCAACAAATTATAATTTCTTGTGTTCAATCTAACTTTACTAATTATTTTTTCTTCATTCTTCTTCTTCATCTTACAAGCTCTTGCACTTTTAATTTAGGAGACGTTTGGTTCATGGATTAGAATCATTATCGATTTACGTGTATTTTTTGTGAGAGAAAATACTGTAGCGAATCATAAACTATGATTCAAATCATGGTTTGAATCCTCCAACCAAACATCCCCTTATTTTTCGTTTTGGTACTCGACCTTAATTATATATATATATATATATATATATTACGGTGCATAATAATATTTGCTCCTGTATTAATTAGTTTATTTGTGCTTTAATTGCCAATTTTACACAAATGAGCACATGGTTTTTGGTTTATATGTATATACATGGAGAATAACATGACTTGTTCCATTAGATACACAAAAGATAGTCATATTTTTAACGAAAAAAATAGCAATTTTACTAATAGCCCAAGAGTATATACACTTGTTTCACTTGCGCTTCTGACATTCATTTTTAGAGGTCTAATTATCCTCATATTTCTTAAAGGTACAATTTTAACCTCTCAATTAATAATCTATTTATTTTCGGACAAAATTAAGCACGAGGATATATATACATGAGGATTTTAAGAGAGATAAAATGGTTAAAAATATAAGAAGAATCAACTAAAAAATCTAAAAATAAGGAAAAAAAAAATATCTAGACTAGGATAGGATGTACTATCTGATTTTTTTATCTGAGAGTTTTTCTTTTAATAAACCATTTTATTATCTCTCTTAAAATCCATGTGTCACATACTCGTGTTAGATTCTGTTAAAAAATAAACAATTTAATTATTAGCATATATAGTGACCAAAACGGTATATTTAAAGTTAATTAGACCTTTAAAAATGAAACGTCGTCTGAGATTTAAAATGAGACAAATACGTATCCAAATCCGGGTCATTCAACAGGGAAAACAACCATAAGTCTATTCATATACGTACGACTTGGTTAAAGAATGTTCTCTAAATCCAGACGCGTTAAGGAAATTTGAAAGCAGATCGGTGGTGGTGGGGCTGAGAAGAGCAATATTGGCATGCATGGACACATATATATAGGGTGGGGGATGGGCTGGATATGTAGCTCTTCTTTTGTATTATTGTTATATTCACCATACAAATACATAATATATATATATATATATATATAAGTGTGAGAGAGTTTGGCATGTCAAGGGAAACCCGTGACCACTCTCTCCTCTGACGATGACAACAACCAAGCCAGAAGGCCTTCATCTGTAAATTTGTTTTTATTTTCTATGCCCATATCATTTTCAGATTTTTTTTTTTACTGACTTTTTTGTTCTCTAAACCTAATCGTCATGAAACTCGTCTTAATAACGTTATGTTTTGACTTCTTAGCACCTCATATCATGATCTTCATTTTATGCAATTTTGCATGAACTAATATTATATAATTAATTGCATTCAACGAGAATATTAAGATATTCTCAGTCATCAAACTCTTTTTTCTTTTTCTTATATATTTTTTAGGGGATATTTTTCTTCTCTCTTAATCTTCCTGTAAAGGAAATTGACATGACATTTTATTTATTTTAGCGCCATCTACTGACAGTTTAATTTTTAGAGGAGTTTATTTCAGGCGCTTAACAATAAATTATCTGATTTTACTATTACGGTTGTATTCTTCAATTTATTTATGTCCACATATGTGTGTATATACATCATATATATATATATAGCACATGTCTTCAGTCCGACGATAATACCAGTTCGGCAAATATTACATTTTTCATTTGTCATTGTTAACATCATTTGTAAGTTCTTATAACACATTTTATTATTTAAGTGTGACACTAAAAAAAAAAAAAAAAAACACACACACACACACACACACACACACACACACAAGGCTCCAGTGGGGGCTTGCCTCCACTCAAATTTTTTATTTTAAAAATTATATAATATATATATATATATATAAGTATTTATAATATTATATTAGCCCCCATTAAAATTAATTTTATAGCCTCCATTAACATTTATGGAGTCAGAAATATTTATCAGTGGGGGCTAAAATTTAAAATATAAGAAGATCATAATAAGAGTATAAGATTTTTTTTTTTATGTTTAGTGGGGGCTATAATGTGTATTTTTATAGTAAATTACATAATTATTATATATTCTTTTAAGATAAAACTAATTAGAGGCCCTAAACCCCACCTCCCTCCGTGCATGCCTATTAAATACATCACTTTCTCTAAAAACTTAACGCATATAAAGACTATAAACTCAATCTTCAATGCACTTGATAATGAAATTATTTTTATTAAATTTTATTTTAATTATTAGCCCCAATTGCAAAAATATCTGACTCGGTCACTATATATATACACGCACATATATAGTCTATCGTTATGTTATTTTAGAGTTATTTCAATTTTACCATGTTACATAAGTTATAATCGTTAGATATATTAAAGATTTTGCTCATTATATAATATATATATATATAGGTGAGTTTGTCATGGTTATATTTTTATCGATAGTTATCATCAATTATAGAAATTTAATTACGTAATTAAATCTCATTAAATATCATAAATTTTTTTAATCAAAGATCTAATTAATTACAACAGTTAAATTAATCTCTTATGTCTAAAATAATAATGTCCATTGACCAATAAATATTAAAATAACCACTAAAATCATCACAGTTATATGTTATATGCACATAATTAGTGCGTATAATTAGCTATGTAAAATGCAATCAGTGTCTTATTATAATTTAAACGACTAGAAGTAGACATCAAATATGGGTCCTCAGAGAATCAGGAATCCAAGAAAAAATGAATCGCAAGCTAGTCTTGCATTCTATTACTCGAAACACACGAAAACTTTTACGCGTAAAATAAGAAATAAAAGACAAAAAGTAGTGAATTCTTTTCTTGGCCGAATTAGAAGCTGGCTTGCTAGAAGTGCTGAATTTTACTACATTATTTGTCGTTTCCTTTCAAGTCGCACTTTGGTTTGAAAGAAATCAATGGCTTCGAGAAATATGAACTCTTAAACTTAAACTTAAACTTTGATAGGAGGGAAGAAATTCATACATCATACGTAGTAGCGGAGCCAG